ACTCCTTTCCCCCAGCTGGGAGCATGCGTAGTCCTTCAGGTAAGTTGCTTGTCTGCGCTGGTGGCAAGAACGTCGCAACCCAGGCAAGCTGCTGGCTGGCGTCAAGTCCTTGCCCCCAGGAATCGTCTCGGAGGTTGTTGGGGAGTGGGCTCGGTCCGGTGTGGTGCTCTGTGAATTAGGTAAGTCCCCCTGTTCGGGCTGACCTTGGCGAGTCGCTTGGTCCGGTCGGCAGACAGGTTCGCTTGGCTGTTGGTTCGGTGTCCCTTGTTGGTAGCTCGGGCCCTCCAGCAAACTCTCTTGGTCGATGGGGTAGATCGGATCCTGCAGGGAGCTTCCGTCTGGGTAGACTGGTACCGGCAGGGAGTCCTCGGTGCTAGGAGGTTGGGCTGGGTTGGTATCAGTTGTGCTTCTCCATCGCCTTCTGAGCTGGTCCACGTGTCTACGCCACAGGCATCCATCTTCCAGGAGGACCCTGTAGGATCTAGGACCTGTGACTGACACCACTTGACCTGGTACCCACAGAGGATCCCCTGCGTAATTCCTGGCGTACACCAGGTCATGCAGGGCAAAGTCCCTGACCAAACTGTCAGATCCTAAAGGGGTGTCTGGGCAGTAGTGGGGGTGCAACCTGTCCAGGGTGGTCCTAAGGCATCTCCCCATCAAGAGCTGGGCAGGGGATTTATTTGTAGCGGTGCATGGCGTCGTATGTTGGCTCAGGAGGTAATGTGACAGTTTGGAGTGCCAGTTTTCCTGGCCAAACCTGGCAAGTGCCTCTTTTGCTGACCTGATTGCCCTCTCAGCCATCCCGTTGCTAGCGGGGTGATAGGGGGCTGTAAGGATGTGTCTGATGCCCAAGTTGGCAATGTACATGCTAAACTCACACGACGTGAACTGGGGGCCATTGTCAGACACCAGCGTGTCAGGGAGCCCATGGGTAACGAAGAGGCGGGTCAGAGCCTTAACAATTGCTTGGGTGGTTGTCGAGGGTAGTAGGGCCAAGTCTATCCATTTGGAGTAAGAGTCTACTACAACCAAGAAGGTCCTGCCATGTACTGGTCCAGCCAGGTCGATGTGCAGGCGAGACCAAGGACCACTAGCATTCTCCCACTTGGTAGGCGTAGCTGCTGGTGGGGCAGCCCTGGTTTCTTGGCAAGGTTGGCATGAGCTTACCCAGCTGGAGATTTGGGCATCCATGCCGGGCCACCAAACGTAGCTGCGGGCCAGAGCCTTCATCCTTACGATGCCCGGGTGGCCCTCGTGAAGTACCTTCAGGATGGGTACACGAAGAGTGGCTGGGATGACTACCTTTGTCCCCCACAACAGACATCCTTGTAGTTTCGACAATTCCTGCTTACGGGTTTTGAAAGGAGCAAAGTCAGCAGTGTATTGCGTTTCCGGCCACCCCCTTCCCACCCAGTCCATAACTTGGGCAATTATTCTGTCTTTTTTTGAGTGCGCAGCAATGTCCTTGGCTGTAACCGGCAATTTAAGTTCATTAACTTCAAAAATGGCATGAACAGGTGCTGGGTCTTCGACTGGGACTGGTAGGGGGCAGCGACTAAGGGCATCGGCGTGACTCAAGTTTTTTCCAGGGCGATGCACCAACTTGAATGAATAAGCGGTCAGGAACAAAGTCCACCTGGTCATTCTAGGTGATAGTACCTGAGGGGTTTGCTTATCCCCTGATAACAGCCCCAGGAGTGGTTTATGGTCAGTTATAAGTTCAAAATGGTGCCCAAACAAAAATTCATGAAACTTTTTTACTGCAGCTACTGCAGCCAAGGCCTCCTTATCTATTTGGCTGTAGTTCCTTTCTGCAGTAGAGAAGGTCCTAGAGAAGAAAGCAATTGGTGCCTCGGAACCGTTGGGAAGCCTGTGGCTCAGAACAGCCCCAATCCCAAAGGGGGATGCATCAGCAGCTAGGACCAGGGGAAGTCGTTGATCATATTGGATTAAAACTGCATCAGATGTGAGTAAGGATTTGACTGCCTTGAAGGCATGGGCTTCTTTGGGTCCCCAATGCCAGGGGGAATCTTTGTCTAACAGTCTGTGTAAGGGTTCAGCAATAGATGCTTTGTGCGGGAGAAATGAAGCATAAAAGTTTAGTAGCCCCAGAAAGGCTTGGAGCTCCGTCTTGTTAGTTGGTGTAGGCGCCTCATGGATAGCCTTTACTTTGGATTCGATTGGGTGAATGCCAGAGGCATCTATCCTATATCCCAGAAAGTCCACTTGTCTAGTGGCGATGGCGCACTTCTCCCTTTTAAGTTTGAGGCCATGCTGCCTAAACTTCTCTAGGACTGCTCTGACCCTTTGTATGAGCTGAGGTCTGTCAACTGCTGAGACTAAGATGTCATCGAAATAAGGGACAACCCCTGGGAGACCTTGGAGAATCCTTTCCATGAGTGATTGGAATATACCCAGGGCTACACTTACACCGAATTAGAGGCGTTTGCACTTGAATGCCCCTCTATGTGTGACTATGGTTTGTAATTCAGCTGTCTGATCATCAACAGGGAACTGTTGGTATGCCTGGGACATGTCTAATTTGGCAAAAATGGTGCCGGGTTCGAAGGTGTGTAACAGGTGTTGAATAACAGGGACCGGGTAGGCACTGACCTGAGATAACGGTTGAGGGTGGTTTTATAGTCTGCGCAGATTCTTAAACTGCCATCTTTCTTGAGTGGGGTGACTATGGGGGTCTCCCATTTGGCAAAGTCAGTTGGTTCTAACACCCCTTGCTTTAGTAACTTATCTAATTCTAAATCTAACTTGGGACGGATGGCGAAAGGCACTCTGCGTGGCTTAAGGTGAAGAGGAATTGCCTGGGGGTCCACAGAGAAGGAGATGGGGGTGCCAGAATAACAGCCCAGCTCGCTGCTAAAAACATCAGAGTAATCTGAGAATAGGGCGTCTACGTCAGAAGTTGAGACAGCATGGATCCCAGTTACACTAAGGCCGAGGGAGGGGAACCAATCTAGCCCCAACAGACTGGGGAGGGCACCATTAACAACCACCAAAGGCAAATGGCCTTTAAAGGCTTGGAACTGAACTAAAAACTTGCCTTTCCCGAGGACAGGGATGTTCTTGCCCTGGTAGTCCCGCAGTGTCAGGTGGCATCTCTGCAGCTTCTTCTTCGCAAATCTGGGATGAATCTTCTTTAGGGTTTCCCAGGAGATGATTGAAAGTGCAGATCCCGTGTCTACTTCCATCCTGCAGGGCTTACCTTCTAAAGAAACAGAAATACTGATTTTATTAGGAGTCTGGGAAGTTTGGTTAGCGTGGTAGCAGGTATAGCAGTCCTCCACTTGCCTTTGAAAATTAGTAGGTGGTGGAGGTCTTTGAGGAAAGGTTCGCCCTGCTTGGCAGATTCTAGCGAGGTGGCCTTTCTTTTGACAATTCAGGCAGATGGCGTTCTTAAACCTGCAGGATGCCCTAGAGTGGGAGCCCCCGCAAGCTAGGCAAATGGGAGGTTGCTTGGGGGCGAAGTTGTTTCTCTGCCCTGCTCCTACCTGTGAAGGCTTTTGTTGCTTAAGGCGGTTAATGTCTGTTGAGTCTATGGGGTCTTCTTCGAGGGAAACTTCCTCTGAATGAATAGTGGAACTGCTGGGTTTTAAAGGAGTTCCTTGAATTTCAGCTGCTGATTGGGCAGAGAGCTCAGCAGCTTGGGCTTCCTCCACGGCTAAAGCTAGGTTTAAGTCCTTTTTTGCTAGCAAACGTCTTTGAAGCCTAAGGTCTCTAACCCCACAGACGATCTGGTCTAATAACATGTCTTCTAGGTAGTCTCTGAAACCACACTGTAAGGCAGCTGTCCTCAGAGCTGCCATATACTCATTAATTGACTCTCCCTCAGCCTGCCTTCTAGTTCTGAAAGCATATCTCCTGGCTATCTGGGATGGTTTAGGTGAATAGTGGTTGGAGAGGATCTCTTGGAGTTCATCCCAAGGTATGCTCCTGATAGAGCGAGGGGCAACTAGTGCTGTAGCGGTGTCAAAAACCGCAGCCCCACAGTAGCTGAGGAAGAAGGATTTTTTCCTGTGTTCAGCAGCATCTGCTAAACCGATGGCATCGAGGAAGTAGCTGAAACGGTTTTTGTATGAGTCCCACGTTTCCTCGGCTGGCTTGAATGGTGGGAATGTCGGATTGGCGTTCATTTTTTGAAGCGGCAGGGTTCGTCCCCTTCAGTCGTGATTCTAAATTCGCGCTCTTAGAAGAGCGCTAGCGGCTGTGCTTATCAGGCGGTGTCTGTCTCTCCGGCTATGGAGGCTTTTTGAATTTCGCGCCCTTTGTGAGCGCCGGCGGCTGCGGCTTCAGCGCCCGTGGCTTCGCTCTCAGTGACCACAGCTCCTCTGAATTGCACGTCTGGCAGCCTTCGATCGCATCCCGCCCTCGTCGCCAGTGTTGTGGAGCGGCGGAGGAACGAGGCTGAGCCAGAGTGAAACGTAAAAGGCTTTATTGCAATGAATAAAGGGTTGCCGCATCTGCCTCCTAACTAGACAGGTTAGCTGGCGGCAACGGGGCTGGCACTGCTCGACAGCCGCCTTTTATAGCCGGCTGTCAAACGGTGCCAGCCAATGGGAGCGGTTGGTGCTCCCGCTCAAACAGCGGACCTGGTTGTGGACTCCAACCAGTCCCAAAGACATAACATAATTCATAAAATATTTAAAAAATAAAAAATAAATTGGAAGAAGATCCATTTTATTGCCTAAAACTAGGGACTTTGAGGACTTCAACTCCCAGAATTCTCCAGCCAGCATAGAATTCTGGGAGTTGAAGTCCACAAGTCTTAAAGTTGCCAAGCTTGGAGACCTCTGGCTTAAACAAATGGACATTTCTGTTCTCTCTCTTTTCTGACTTTCCCTGTAAAAGGTCTAAAAACAATTGTGGGAGCTTTGATCCAGTCTGTGAAGAAGCTTGCTGATGTGATGATCCTCACTGTGTTCTGTTTGGCGGTCTTTGCCCTCATTGGCCTGCAACTCTTCATGGGGAACCTGCGACACAAGTGTGTTCGATGGCCACCTTTTCCCAATGACACCCTGCAGGAT